AGCTGAAAGGATGTAGACCAATTTTTTTTCCCTTTGCAGGCTACTTTTAAGATGGCTTATTCCTAAACTGTAAAGGAGCGTACAAAGGTGATGCCTTCACAGGGTACCGTGATGATGAGAAGAGTAGTTTCCATCAGTGTGCTATTTTAGAGACCCTTTTCTTAAACCATCCCCTCTCCTGCTCTCTTGTCTCATTCATACGCTCCTTTGTTTGCTAGTTGTTAAAGGGAGAAGTACGGAGTGTTTAAAGTATGTTTTTTAGTGTTCAGAGGTAAACGGGGCAGTGACACTTGGTGTGTGCGATGTATCTCCTGTCATACATCGTGGGATGCTCGTCCCAAAAAGTTTTGTAGGAAGTGGAAATAAGCAGAACGTAAGAAGTCGATTTGTGCAAATCAAGTTATGGGTCAGACATTTGAAACATTTAACTGAACAGCGGAAACCTGAAATACTGTCGTTACAGAAGGTATACTTGATGCGTTTGTGGAAACTTTGCCTTTGTGTAATACGCAATGGAAAAGTAAGAAAGATGGTATGGCCTCACGCACGATACGCAGTGGAAAAGTAAGAAAGATGGTATGGCCTCAGGGTACCTGACACGTGCTTGACTTGTGTGCGTATGCTAGTTAGAGATGCACAGAGCTGTCAAACCGCAGGTTTTGGCTTTTAAAATGCAGCTGCGAAGACTGTTTAGTCTGCCTTCCCCGTCTCTCGGATTTACAGAGATTCAAAGCAACGTGTCACCTCTTGTAGTTTTCTACTATCCTTAAAATAAAATCTTTCTTATCTTTAAATCAGGTCTGTCAGTGGGGTAAATTGTTCTTGCTCACGCAGTGTTTGTGCTGTGTTTGCCATGTAGGTTGCTGTGTAGCTTTTGGGGAGAAGGATGTGAAATGTGAGATGACATTGTGAAGTGGTATCTGTTTTCTGTTTTGTAGGTGACTCGGTGGATACAATTCCAGAGCCTAACGAATTCCTTTTTCCAGAATATGAAATTTTGATAGAACCTGAGGAACCAGAATTTCCTGCCTACAGCAGTGTAGATCCTGATGACAAACAAGGAGCTGTAGATACATCAAAGGACCCAAAAGAACAAGAGGAACTCAGAGCTACAGGCAGTGCAGGTAAGAAATAAGATGCTATCTGTAATTCTTCCTCACGAAGCCTGTATCACATCTTTAAAGTATAAAATGCTGTGATTTTTAAGTGTTCATTGTAAACTACTGGTGACAAAAGGCTAAATCTACAGTCGTTTGTGATGCAGGTTTTTTTGTAGACATCCCGTAACGTAAGTTGCTTTTAGGGGAGAGACTTGCTAAGCCCCAACCCTGGGAGCTGTTGAGGCGGCTGTTGCTGCAGTGAAGGTGCAGGTAGCTGGGAGTTGCACTCTGTCCCTGGGTGCTTCCCGCAGGCGAGGAGCAACTCAGGTGAGAGAAACAGGGCCCTGAGCACCCGCTGCTGGAATCGGGGGATTGAGTTAGATGGTCTGGGCTTGTCTTGGTTCAATTTCTCCTAATTTATGGGAAATACCTAACAAAGTCGCCTTGTCTGTGCTAGAAGAAAACTGTTTTGAGGCTATTTTAACTGACCTTGAATTAAGCAGTTGCTGTGCAGGCCCCTTCTCCTCACACACCCCAAATCCATGAGGTGTTTGCGGCTCAGCACACCGGCTTGGCAGGCGCCCAGGGCAGAGAGTTTGTGGTGTGACAGGGCAAGGCTGCTGGGTTCCCCGCTGTCCCTTACCGTGGTCTAAAGGCCGCTGGAGACTGCTGGGTGCCCCATGTTGATGTGAACGGTGGAGTGTAACAGGTACACTCTTCAGTGCTAGAAACCGAGTCTGGCACATGCACGGCACCGGTGGCCTTTTCCAGATGTCACATTCTGAAGGTTCAGCAAAAAGTCTGAGCGATATCCGCTGGGAGCCGTAAGTTTCGGTAGATTAACTCCTTCCCTTTCCAGTGTTCCAGTACTGACATCTATGTTTAAAATGCAACTAAAACTAGTAAATGGGTCTGTGTGTGACTGAACCTTAATATGTCACAGAAAGAAAAAGTCTTAGTGATTTATGCCAGGAATGAATCTTGAGAGCAAAACACTCTTACGGGTGCAATATTGTTTTTAATTCTTCGCTGTCTTGCATTAGCCTGTAACCTTTGTTTGTTTGTTTTCTTGCTTAGGTGAAACCTTTCAGTCCTTAGATGAAGAGACTTTGGAAGCAATGGCAAAACACGAGACTGAAGAAGACAAAATCTTCCAAATGTTTAAAGAACGAGTAGCCGCTGAACCAGAGCAGGTCAGAAGATGGGGCAGCCTTAGAAGTTAGGGGTTCTGGCACAGCATCCTGCTGCACCTGCAGAGTGTTTCACTGCCTTTTGTACCTACGGTTAGAAATGGCGATGGGGATGTCTCCTCATCCTCTGCACACCTTAACCAACATACCCTAATCTTCATTATGTGCAGAACTTCATTCATGCTGAAGTAAGAATTTAGCACCAGCTCATCTTATCATCTCAAACAGGATGAGAAGGCACAGGGGCGCTGAAGCCATCGTGGTGGGGGGAGGACCTGCCATCCTGTGAAGTGGTTCTAACCAAAGGAGGAGGTGAACCGTTGCACTCTTCCCCAGCCTTTGGCCCTGTTGGCTTTCCTTCTCAGCAGAACTAAAACTGCAGAGAGGAGCTCTGTCACTGTCACCAGCTGCATGGGGGGGGGGGGGGTTTGCCTTTTTTTTAAGGTCAAATTAGTGATGGCTTTAAAATTTCAATAATTTAAAACAGAAATCTCCCCCCATACTATTTCTTGCTAACACAAGAGGCTGAAAAGAGCCACACTGTCAAACAAAGACATGGTTCCTGGTTGCATGCAGAGGAAACACAGGTCTAGGTCTATGAAAGTGGTGGAGGAAGAAGAAATTCTCACCATGTTTTACCTGGTAGCTGAGGGTTAAGGTGCACACCCAGAAAGTAGGAGACTTTGAGTCTGTTCCCTCCTCTGCTTGGAGTAGGTGCATCATCTCCCTCTCTGACTGTCCCCATACTGACTGACCTGCCTAAGTGTCCTCTTGTTGGTAGTGCCTGATTTCCTATATAAATATTTAGATAGTAACAGAACAACAAAGGATACGAATGTCTGGAAATACCTCCATCTTGGGGGTTAGGACAGGCCCCCTGCATTTAGATGCAGAACTGCAAACAGGGAGAGCTGGGTTGCATTCGTGACTGTTCTGTACGCTTCTACGTGGTAATGGTCAATCTGCTCTTCCTCCGTCTCAAGACTAAAAATACATGAGCTAGCATTTCTGGGTCCCTTAATTACAGAACTACAAGTCATTGCATCTTATCCCTGGATCCATTGAAAAAAATGCTGTATGAATACTTGCGTGATTCACATAGTTAAGAAAACTTAAATAACGAACCTGTCTTATTTAGAATACTGCATTTGCAACTGATAGACTTTGCCATGGGTAATTACAGGAACTGACCTTTTTCTGCAGTCTTAAAGCTATGTCCATAAGTACCAGTTTTATACCAAGATGAAAAGACAGTCTTGGCAACTTAAACTTCTGCTCTATTTCAGATTATTAGATACTGCAGAGGAGGAGACGGCCCAGTCTGGGTATCAGGTGAAAATATTCCTGAAGAAAAAGATATCCCAAATTGTTCATGTGGTGCCAAAAGGATTTTTGAATTCCAGGTATGTAAATTCATTTAAAGATAATATAGGTAATGTAGTTCAGACTTTGCAGGATCTAATTGTGTAAGTGTTGGCTTGTAATTAGAGCAAGGTAGTTGAAGTTGCTACAAACTATGCTAAATTGTAGAGAGCCCTTACTTACAGGAAAAAGCAGTTAGAATAGTAAGACTTTCACATATAGAACATAGGTTCCCTTCTGATAATTTGCACCATCCATAAAATGGTGCACTTGTCACTATGGAACCATCTCTTAAGTAATAGGAGTCTGGTATTTATATATTTTTTAAAAAAGCCTTCAGGATGTGAATTGGAAATACGTCTAGCTGGAAGTATTCAGCTGCAGAATTTTGGATGCTAGAAGCGTATGTACGGTGAACACAATGTCGTGCAAAGGCAAAACATAGTTACGAAGGTAATTTCAAATGGAAGGAGGCTTACAAATCAGGCAGTGCTTAGTCAGATAACGCTTCTATAGATAAAATAAGTAGGGCCGTGCCTTTGATTCCTGGTGCATCTACTCCACTGTTTTGGGAACTCCAGATTTCTTTTATTTGAGCTGCTGTGTTACTTGGCAGCTTTGATTGGGATTTGGGTGTAAGAGAACATAAATGAAGGCAGGACCCTTCTTTGGGAGGAGATGCAGGGAGAGGGTAGAGAGCTGCGGCCTGCCTCTAAACCTGTGTTTTTCCTTGAAGATTATGCCACAGCTCCTGAACCACCTTCAGGTTGACAGCCTTGGAGAGAGCATTGACTGGGGAACGCTGGTGGTGTACACTTGTGCTGACAACTGTGGTGAGGGAAACGAGTACCTGGAAGAGTTCATATGGAAACAAGACTTCTCTGCAGGCTCCGTTTAACTTCCATCAAGTCACTAAGTTGAGTCATCTGAATAGAATACTTGCCTTGTTTCAGTGCATCTCTGCACGTTGTGAACAGGTAATTGAAGTCCCTGATAACTCTGTATCTGGGAACAGTGATAGAACGACTAAAAGTAGACCTTGACAGCCTCTCTCTTGTGCTCCACAGGAGCTTTTATTTCAGCCTGGTAATGAAGCCAGATGCATTTATTCAGTGAATTTCACTTCAAATCTCAATTCTGAATTAAATAAAGATGAAATATTTCTGGATTGGTGAAAGTATCTTTTGTTGGTGACTGAACTTAAGATTGTCGTCTGCCAGGATTTTCTTTGTGCTACGCTAAAATTAATTCACAGGGAAAAGCGGACTCCTCTAAGATCACTCGAGTGCTTATGCTGAAGAGGTGTACAGAAGTCATAGCTAAGACAAAGCTGCGTAGCCTTTCACTGTGGAACTTAACTCCGCTTCTCTTTCTCAAAAGGTATGCCGGATCTAACTTGGCAGTTGTTACATGTTCCGACTGAGTGGTTCTTCAGGATAAAAGGCAGAAAAATTCAGTGTTTTATCTGACTTTATTAACTGGGTTAAACTATTTCTGCATGGACTATCTGCTGCAGAAGCAGTTTAAACAAAGGCAGCCATACCAGAACATGTTTGTCTTGCTACGTACTGCCTGTAGCAGCAGATTTTCAAGCTGAATTGTACCTTAAGTCTGCCATCTTTGGTGAAGTTTAAAAATAAGTGCCCTCTGCACTGATTCTTCTGCTATTTGACTGCCATATAGCTGAGGCAAGAGAAAAGTGAAACCATAATGCTGAATTTACTGTGGTGGTTGGTTTAACTACTCCTGTGGCTGTAGCTACATTTGCAGAGAAGAGGCGGCTTTTTTTTCTTTTTTTGTCTCAAGTAAATGCTATACTGAGTGATGTATTCCTTCATCCTGCTCAAACCATTCGTGTGTGCTTACCAGTGATTCTGAAGGTGATTTTATGAAAGCCCTAGGCCCGCTGTTGGTTTTTTTAATACCGATTCAGATGTTAGAAATACTCAAATGAGCAGACAGACAACAATTTACATATAAGCTGCTCTGTGATCACAGAACTGCATTTCTGAAAGGGCAGTTTTAAGCCTGGGTACATGTCATGGAACAGCAAATGGTATCTTAAGTCACTATAGTACAGCTTGACTGATTTTATTAAAAGCCATCCCATGGTTACTTAAGGCTCCAAGTTTTCCTGCAGAGTTAAGAGTTCAGCCGGTAAGATGGTAATCCTGCAAAAGCACGGACAGTCATGCGGCTCTGTTCAAGAGCACTCAGGAATGTTCACCAGCTGACAGCACAGAGGGGTGTGGCACCGAAGGCGATGCAGTGTTCGGGTATCTTGAACTTACCCTGGCAAAGCTACGTTATTGAACAGCAGCTTCCTGCTAATATCCGTGAAACCAATTATTAAAACACCTGGAGAAACACTGGTGTACAGCAGTACAGGGGGGGAGTAAAGACGACTAAGGATTAAGGTCAGTCGGCATCTGCAGAGCGGTAGCAAAGCCAGCCAAAACTTCCTTTTGTCTGGAATGAAACACCAACTTAGTAAATAAAGAGACCACGGTTACTTTTGGGTTAGTTTTAGATAAAAGCTGTTTGAAAGAAGGTGCAAGTCATAGAAAGGAGGTTACTAGTACTGGAAACTTACCGGAGGAAGAAAAAAGTTTATTTTTTAGTTCTCAGCCCGTTAAGCTCCAAGCACAGTTCAGAGGGAAGATTACGTACATACTGACTCCAGTCAGAAGGGCTTTGACATTGTACAGGAACACTAATGTAGTGAGACTGGCATAGTTGGTAAAATACAATAGTAGTAATTTAAAGAAATTCTAGAAGCTAAGCAGAGATCTTTTGTTCCAATTCAGTCAAGTGTAGCTATTTAAGACTTGCATAAATCCCATCTGTTGAACATACGGCAACACAGACTTCTTTAACCAGTCATCTCTCTTGCTTTAACATACTAGAAATATTCAAGCTAGACGTTGCCAACGATATGACTGCTGGTAAGCAAGCCTGAGCATTAAGATTCTCTCAAAATGGCAAGTCACTTGCAGTAGTGCGGGTGCTGTTGAAAAATCCACATTATATTTAAAAAAAGTTCTCAATGTGTTTCACTCTACCAGCTGGGTAATTTTCCAATTCATTAAGACAGTTCCCATAATTGTATAAACAGGGTTTATTGTACATGTGGAGCTGAAGGAGGAAAGAGAAGGTAGGTATATATTATATATATATGTACAGTGAGCCATTTTCATTAATAAATTTATTCTGTCTTGCTTAATACTGGAAAGAGGGAATGTGGCTGGCACAAAAGAAATTTAAAGTTGAAAAAATTTAAAAGCTTAAGTTCTGAAAATTATAAAAACCATGGTCTTATGGAAGGAAGTTAAAACATATATACATGGCAAGTTAAGTGGTTTATACACTGAGTGACACAGCTGCATTTGTCTTTTAAACCAACTTTACGGATTTTCTATTAATAGAACAGGCATTAAAACTATTTAAAAGCTAGAATATAAATAAAACTTGAAAGGACCGCTCCAGGAACAGCCCAGTAAAGCAACTCTCACAGTAACTCAGTAGACATAATCAAGAATACAGTTCCCCTTGAGCATCAGGGAAGTAGGCACTAACTGGGAAATAGTCCAAGTCCTGGTGTTGCAGTTTCACTGGAAGTCCATCTCTTGTTACTGCTGTGCCATACGCAATACCTCTTAAAATATACCCCTGATTTCTCTGAAAGGTGTAGAAACTGTTATGTTGTCTTTCTGAATCCCTTTAAAATAGGATAGATGTTTTCAAATGCTTCATAGATTTCTGCTCGTACTTTAGCACCTAGAAGAAGAGAGGGAATGAAGTTAGTTTGTACCTTTTGCCAAATAATTAATTTTAGCTTTTAGAATGTTTATTTGAATGCAACTCTATATAAAACCTATGCATATCCATAAATCACTATTTTTACTTTTTTTTTAATACATACATTTCATAAACAGCATACATTACCAGCCTTCTCACTGTATATTGTGATAACTGCATTAGCATCTTTGTGCTTATGCTCTACGTGCAAATGGGATTTTTCTATACATAATTTCCACAGGAGACCCAACTACAAAGCACAGCCCTAGAGGATGTTTCTGCAGAAAGGTCTAACTGCTGGAGTTTTGGGTTTGTTTTTTTTTTTTTTTTGAGAGCGTGAACATCTCGGGGAGCAATGTCTGGCACGGAGACAGCTGCAGAGGCCTGCCACTTGCCGTACTGCAGGGACTGCTCCTTCTTTTGTCTGCCAGTCTCATGGTTTTCGTCCTCCATAGTAAGACTCAACGGGAGGAGAACGGGAAGGGTGTAGGTGGAGTGCCTGCGGTTGAAGCAGTCCTAGAGCTTGGCTATTTCCCCTTCTTTGGCTGCTCTATCAGAGAATGGCAGCAGCCTCCAGCCAAGCTGCCAAAGAACCGTTAGCTCAGCCATTCAAACCCAGCACACAGAAACGCCAGACCTGTGCTCTTACACCTTTTCAGGCACCTGCATACTTGATTAGGATTCACAATCATTGCTTACATGGATTTAGCCAAACACATGGTTTGCTTTGTGCGTCCTCATCCCCAGAATACCGTACTATCCGTTCTTTCTCAGTACCGTCATTTCTAAAGGAAAGTACCTAGCAGCTTACATACCTCTGGTATCATTGTGCGTTCTCTGTAATACAGTCTAAATCTAACCTACTGGAGTAAGATCTTACTTGTCTTCACTTACCAGTTAAAACCACTTTTCCAGAAACAAAAATAAGCAGAACAATTCTTGGCTTGATCATTCTGTAGATTAAGCCAGGAAACAATTCTGGCTCATAGCTGTAAGAGAAGAGAGTGACAGTGTTTATACGTGCTTGCAGACACATGTTCCATCTGCAGGACTGCAGGAATGGGCAGAGCAGATGTAGACTTCACTGAAACTTGGAGGGAGTTAGCAGGGAAGATCATTTTGATGGGTTCATGTTGGGCAACCTCAGTTACACCCGCGGCAGAACAGCAATGGGAACAAAGATGCAGATTCCCTCTGGTACAAGGGAATAATCTAAACATGTCGCTCTCTCAGCTAGTCAATATGCAGCAAGAATGAAACATAAGCAAGCCTTTTTTTTACCTACTGGTGTGTGAGTACCAATCCTTCTAATCTGATGGGAAATTTCACATCACAGCTGCCCACCATGTTCTGAATTTTAAAATCCAAAAATTTTGCAGGAAAACCCAGTTTCTGAACAACTCTTGCGTACTTCCTTGCTGCCAGTCTGGATTGCTCCTCACTGAAGTGAGAAAAGGATATCCACATTGTTTCCTCAGTTAACTACTACTCGAAGCAAACAGCATTAAACTACAATACGTAACTGGGAAAAAAAAGGCTGTGTTGATGGGGAGGGGAAGGTCACATGCAAAATTTTTACATCCAAAATTAACTAGCACTGGTTTGCATGCTAATTTTGGTACTAGGGTCCTGAACACCATTAATGAGCTTATTCCTTCTGGATTCCTAACTTCTTCAGGGAAGAATTTCTCTCCTGCCCAGTCGAGTTAAGCTTCTGTTTAGTTTTCAATTCTTGTGTTTCAATGATCATGTTAAGAACAGATAAACTACAGGGACTGGAGACTTGGAGCTCTTGGTCTGTGATGAATGAACTAGTCAAATATAAAATCACTCTTCCTCTGCCACTGCCCCTACAGTTTAAGCAGTTCCAGTGCATAGTCATTGAAATTTTTAAATTATTAGAAAAAAAAAAGATAACTGCAAAGCCTAAAAAGTGACTATAATAACCTCTGCAAACCAGTTTATCAGACTGTACGAAGGAGCTTCAGAAACAGAACTGTTTTCCCTGTCATAGGGAAGGCCTTTCAGTCATGAAAACAGATTTTGTTTAGAAACATGTATTAGTCTATTTGAAATATCTGGGAAGAAAACTTAAGAAAC